GGATTAATATAGGTCGATAGACCTCCTATCCTTATTACTGAAGACTGAACAGGGTTAAAAGGCATTGTCCATCGTCAACAGTCAGGTGAATTGGCTTTAAATCTTGTGGTCTAATTTTGGCGATTAGGTTGACTAGTATTTTAGCTAAAATCTGGGAGTTGGACGTAGCCCCATCTGACTGGTGGCAATCACTTATTGTTCCGATATATAAGGGGTCAAAATCATCCTGTGACAACCATAGAGGGACTAGTTGGACTAATATAGCATCTAAGATACTAGCCTCAATAATTATTGGGTGTCTAACTAAGGCTCGTAAACTGCAACCACGAAGAAATCAGGCTGGCTTCAGACCTGGTCGTGGTTGCATTGACCACATATTCATCAGAACACAGACTTGCTTATCGGCGTCCGACAATGGTGGTCTTTCTTGACTTAAAAGCAGCATTTGACTTTGTAGACCGAGAAGTTCTGTGGCAGTGACTGTCATTGAAAGGCGTACCTCGGAAGTACATAAACCTTGTAAAGGCTCTTTACTCCAACACTACTAGTCGAGTGAGAGCTTACAGCGAACTGTCATCTGCTTTTGAAACCTCAAGTGGTGTCCGTCAAGGCTGTCCACTTTCTCCATTTTTGTCTAACTTCATCATAAACATACTTATGGAAATAACGCCAAAAGTACGTAAAACCCAAAACCAACTGAGTGGAAAACGTAAGGTCCCATGTGTTTATTGATAGGATACCATATCTTGTGTTTTGAAGAAAAGTACGGTAAGTCCATTGCAAAATTGGAGTCACCTTCATTGATCTGGTACTAACCGTAGCTTTTAAGGGAGATCCTAAAAGATTTATATCAGAACTGTGGATAGAATATTCTTTCTTCGGCATGGTGCGCCAAAATCTTTACTTTGAATTTTCATAATTAAAAAAATATCCTACCCAACCGGTCAACATAGAAAAAGGAATTTTAAATTCACAGAGTCAGAGGCTGAATTTAGGGTTCTCATCACAATCTGACACCAACGGCAGTGTAATTTTTCTAAAGTACATACCGTGGTTCTTAGTTTTAGCACGATAACTCGTTCATTTATCCTGTTTCATGATAGATTAAGACATCAGGGTCGTTCGAGGGTATACTTTATGTTTTCATTAGTTGCAACTCAGCTAATCCGTAGTTGACTAATCTATTTTGGATAACATAACAGTCTCACTAATACACTAACGCTCATTATTATCATGATAACAGTTTAGGCACCCGAGCATTATCACACTCCACACACAAATCAAGTGATTTATATGGTGCATATGTATTCAGTGCCCCTTTTACACCAATATTTGTGTTCAAATAAATAAATAATTATCGTGGTATTATTATGCTGTTTGTTACATAGGGCAATTAATATTTTTTGTTGACTTTCATTCACGGTATAGTTATGTTGGATTATTATGACAACACTTTCGAACTATGTTCTGCAAACTGAGTAGTGTAGTTTTGGATATGAACTTGATTTATGATCTTTCAAATATCTCCATAAAACATAGTGTTACTATTGAGTAGTGTTAAGATTTTCTACTAACAATACTGCTTTGATGAAACTTGAGACTAAAAAATAAACCACATATCTGCTGTGTAAATACTTTAAGATATTTTTCCCTCAATTTTGTTTGCCTATTTCACATTTTACATTTAGTAGCCATTATTGTATAAAAAAATCTGGTTGGTTATATACGTCAGTAATTAGGCTCTCGTTAAACTACTGAGTTCTTAAAGCAATTAGTCACTTTGATAAATTTCGATAATGTAATAAGAAGATGAAGATTATCAGAACTATATGATGATAGATTAGTGCAATACATTTCGAATAATCTGATCACACATTACATACTTGGTAAGAGCATTTATATATAAAATTTAAAGGTCAACTAGATTGGAAATGGAGTAAGAGGAGATAAGGATAAAAATAATAATAATAAGACTAATGATAATAATCTGAACACACTTCCTAAACTAATCACTATGGATAATAAGTCCATATTACCAGGGTAGGTTTAAGGTAAGAACAAACTGTTTTTGAGCCTTGGTAGATTGATCTAAACTAGGCTTTTGTAGTATTGTATGAAAGTGTTGTTTACAAAAATGAGAGGACGAAAAGCGAATGTCCGGCGCTTTAACCGGATCCCAAATCAATCGTGCACAAGGGCTCCAGTATCCTGAAGGAACAAATGGCGTATGAACCAATCGTTGGTCACCGGCTGGCTACCATGGGACTTCATCTCCTCACGATGCTCCACTGCCTTGTGGGTCAGACGTTCAGGTCCGAAGGCTCGGGGTGTGGCCCCCTAAGAAAACCACCTGCTTCGGTTTGGGCACCCGGGCAGTATCACAGCCCTCACACAAATCAATTGAGATTCGTGTGGCGCATATGAACTTGGTCCCTCGCTGTACCTATACTTATGTGTTAAAATAAATAAATAATAAATACATTACATATTTGGTAAGAGCATTTATATATAAAATTTAAAGGTCAACTAGATTGGAAATGGAGTAAGAGGAGATAAGGATAAAAATAATAATAAGACTAATGATAATAATCTGAACACAATTCAAAACCTGATCACTATGGATAATAAGTCCATATTACCAGGGTAGGTTTAAGTTAAGAACAAAATGGTTTTATTTTTTGGAATATACAAAGGGGATTTGAATTTTCGTGTGGCTAAGGCTTCAATAAACTTGACAATACGCCCTTTTACACTTTCATACAATACTACAAAAGCCTAGTTTAGATCAATCTACCGAGGCTCAAAAACAGTTTGTTCTTACCTTAAACCTACCCTGGTAATATGGACTTATTATCCATAGTGATCAGGTTATGAAGTGTGTTCAGATTATTATCATTAGTCTTATTATTATTATTTTTATCCTTATCTCCTCTTACTCCATTTCCAATCTAGTTGACCTTTCAATTTTATATATAAATGCTCTTACCAATTATGTAATGTGTGCTCAGATTGTTCGAAATGTATTGCGCTAATATACTGAGTTCTTAATTATTTAGTTATTCAAAGACTAGTCATACTTTTTATTCTCACCAGTCTTATTATTTTGTTCACTGAATGTTTCCTGAGAATATTTGCTCTGTTTCTTATGTTGGACTGAGATCCTGTCGATATATTTTCTCAAAGCTTTTCCATTGTAATAACAGTCTCAAGTAGATCATTGCATCGGACACAAGTCTGTTAATGACTGAGTTGTATATTTATGCTAACTTCACAATGTAATGTTCCTAATTCGGTTTTAGCAGCGATTGTAAATGATTCTATTATTTTCAGAAATTATATCGGTATATTTCTGTTCCTTGATAATAACCTGTTCAGCTACAGACTAGTCTATAGGGACTACTTCAGATGTGAATCAAGTTACTAGTGACTACCCGTAATTCTGATAAGTAATCTTCGACTACATATTAAGGCCTCTTGCATTCGTTCGATTCATGCTTATCACACTGCACCACCCACTCAACATGTAACCTACAATAGTTTCTTCTATCCTTGGTGGGGGATAAATGGTCGATTGTTATCTTTATTATCCGTTTCATCTTTATCACAAGCTTCTGTTTGCGATCTCTGTTCAAACCCACAATCAGTTAAACAAAAATAATAATTAATGTTATCGTAATACATAGCAGCATAGAAACATCCAACAAATATAAAGTCAATTAAATATGCAAGGATGACACGAATGAAACAGTAGTAAATTGATGGGTTTTTTTGTATTTGGGTGATAGGTAATGAATGTTTTTGTGTTATTATGACTAATTTTTATTCTTGTTGCATATGACATCCTACTATTAATTTCTGTCATTCTTAAGCCCTTCCCTAATAAAGTTTTTCAACTTCTTTTGCTGATTGCATAAATTATTGTCATATTCTACTCTGACTTAAGCTTTCAACATAATTTTGCTTCAACTAGGGTTGTAGGTTAGGGTTACGATTTGACATGCATAACATACACAATTAATGGACATTTACAGAATTTCTAATCAATCTTATCTAAAATCATGCATTTGGTAGGTTTTAAGATATATCAACATGCATACAAAATATCGCTGCTTGCAACTACATTCACTCAGTTGAACTATGCTAAGTTATCTTGCTTTACGTCAATATGAGAAAAGTTAAAATAGTTAGTCTCTTTGATAAATTTTAGCAATGCAACACAAAAAAAAGAGTATACCAGAACTATGTGATATATCAATCCGATACATCTCAAACAATCTGATTACACATATACCTGTTTAGACATTTATAAATGAACATCAAAAGGTTAACAAAAATTACTGAAGAATAAAAATGATATTGCTAATAGTGATGGGTAATAAAGAGTTCTTCAGATAAGAATTTTTAAGAGGAGATAATGTGTTTATATTGATACAATGCTCATACATACAAAATCTTTCGTTGAGTCTACGAAATTCCTCTCTGTCAATAACACAGAAGCCCCCATTTATGTACCGAAGTCCTTTCAAACACAAACGTTTGAATAACCTTATAGATGACTCAATTCAGAGAGAAGGCCTTCGGTCGACCCTAGTGGTTGTTTCAGGGAGCATTATGTACTTGGTTTCATTAACAGGATAATATTCCGTTAGGAGTCATTCTAGAAAGGTAAGTTCCGTCGTCCACTATAAAATGGCCACGTCTTAAGATGTACACATAATAGATTATATAGCTTACATCCTGTGGGATAGGGTGTATACTTGATATTTGCATTTTATGTAAACTTTTTAAAGTTATTGTATATTATAAGATATAAAACGGAGTTTTATCCGATGAAATTTACCCTCTCTGTCCGGCATACAGTTCACATACTAAAGATGTATTTTTTATTTACTGTTTATATATCTAATTGTTCGTCGATTGCTCATTCATGTTAACTTTGCTTTGTATTAATGTAGGTACACGTAAACACAACGGAAACATATAATCATACATTCCTACCCATGTATCTTAGTTTATTCGCGTTTAATCTTCTACTGGGATTGTCAGTTGGTTATCCTAGTCGGTTGACTTTCGAGTTACCTGATAATGAAGGTATTTGCTTCTACGAAGATCTTCCAGCTTCGAAAAAGTATGTATTTAGCTATCATGTAATTCACGGAGGACAAACTGATGTGGATATCGTAATTAAAGATCCTAAACAAGTGATTATTTCTAATGTAGAACGTGGTTCAGATGATGATATCACTTTCACAACAATTTCTTCTAATGGCACTTATTCTTTTTGTTTCAGTAATGAATTCTCTTCTATATCACACAAACTTATATATTTTGAAATTCGACCTGAAGATTTTGAATCATTAGCTGAGGAGGCTGGATTACCAGTTTTTCCAACTGTGATGACTTTATTAGATAGTGTTGTGGAGGTGTTACATCATTATCTATCACGGGCTGAAAGTTTCGGAATCGAGTTAAAAAATCGTGATTATGGTGATTTCTTGGTAGCTGAAGATTTGAATTCAGCTGTTTTTGTTTGGAGTGTCATTATTACATTTGTTGTCATAATAACTTCAGTTGGACAAGTCACAATATTAAAAAATTTCTTCAGTGAGAAAAAAGTTGCTTATTCAGCAATCCCATCAAGTTATCCTGCCCATACATTAAGAACATAATTTCATGTAAATTTTAGCATTATTTCTGCTATATAGAATAGTTGGGATTAAACAATGACAAGCATGGGAAATATCGACTATTTTCTGACTCCCGTTCATCCTTCTTTTCTTTTCTTTTTTTTGGGGGGCGGGCTATCAATTCTCACCTTGTTTCTAATGAAACTTTTCAAGTTGTTAACGTGTACAGATTCAGTTTTTAAAATTTCGATTTGTATTTTAAAGTTTGTCTTATCTTTGTGGCAATTTGTTTTTCTCAGACACATTAGTTTGTGTTATAAAAAAACATTGTTTTGGCTAATGAATTTGTGATGACGATCATTGATTTTTAGTTTACTTTTTATTAAGAGCTGAATTGTGTCTGATGTTTACATGGTACAGATGGTTAACTGGCTAACGTATCTGATAATTAATCGGTAAAACTATCAGTAGTCTACTCTATATCTGCATATTATACCATATTTTAGAACATTCATGTTATTTTTTTAGGCTGTACTGTTTACAAATTTGGCTAGTGTAAAAATATATACTATTCCGTGGTATTCACTTTCCCTTTTTAGCTTACATGAAAATTTGTTCACCACACGAAGCTACTGATTAGAGGCTTCTTGGGCAAGGGTGTGTTATGGAAATGCTCTGTGAAGGTTGAACTCTTTGTTACCCCCCAGCTGTAGCAGGGTTTTTAATGTCAAGTGTGTATTCGGTCGCGGCTTCACGAACAAGGTAAGCCTACATCCTCATTCCGTATCTCAGAGACATTATCACAGAGTTGTTTAGTCTTCTTAGAGGGATAAGTTTGTGGTTATTTGGTGGAATTTTATCTTCCACGGTCTCTAATTACTTGTTGCCTTGATTGCTCACAACCTAACTACGAGTAAACAGTGACCACTGGATTTTACCATGCTATAGTCCCTTCAACATTACTCCACTCAACAAAATGTAGACAGGTTTAGGCAACGAAAAAGATGTTTAAAGCCAAAATAATAATCTTAAACTAACTGCGTATAAATTCGATTCGCTGTGTGATTTTGAATCATATGTATGTGAACTCAAGTGTAGCAGGTGTACTTTTATGTGTGCAGCCAGCTAGTGTTTTCGATGACCTATTATGTCATACCTTATGTTAAGTTTCATCATCTCCGTAATGAAATTTTGAATTTGCTAGTTCACATTTGAGAAGGTATTCGGTAGTCAGTATACTAATACTTGAAGATCAAGTGCTTATTAATATAATGCGACTTTTATACATTAGTCAAAATGTCCTTTTCGGTTTCTAACGATCTCCGACTTTCAAGAGGGTTTGCGTTATTGCATAGCTTACAGGATTATTGGATGAAAAGGAAAATGTTCGGAAATTTACTGTGATATGTTCCAGTAAACCGAAGAGTACAGTGAAAGTTAGTGAATCCTAGTTTTTTTTGTTGTTGGCTAAGTACATTGGTGTTTATAATCCAAGTGTGAAAATGGTTATTATCCATTCTAATAACTAATCTGTTACACGCATCTCACGGTAAGCACAATATGGATTCTAAATTCTCGTTGACGAATTCCTCTAGGATGCTCAGTGATTCCGGGTGATTATTAAGAAACATACAAGATGTGCATAGAGCTCTCTTTGGGTTACTTTGATAATTTAAGAGCGAATAATGCTACTGCTCACATCCTACAATTTGGGTAAACGTATAACTCATTCAATGTAGAGACTGATGAATGTTTCAGTCCACATAATTTGTGAGAATTATATTCGAAATAATCTGAGCTATTAGAATTCAAATAATTCCAACATTTCGTCCAGAAAACTTGTCTAAACTTCTTCAGGGTTCTAAGAATTGGCTCACTGCATCTTGAACCTATATGACCTTAGATCTTGAAGAGATTTCATGGAATGACATGACTGCTATCTAAACTTTATTGAAAAGATGTAGTTGAAAACTTAGTTTAAAGATAATATTTAATAAACCTAACAATGTTAATTGGCTAAAGTAAACTATACGATCAAGTAAGTCAGTCGATTAATGCACTTTTGTGTAACAGTCATTACGGTGTGTTCATGAACATTTTTTTGACGAAACAATATGGCTTTGCATTCTCAAAATCGGAAAGCTTTTCTCCATGTAACAGTTCTATACCTCATAAGCACACGTCAACCACCAGGTTTCTCGGTTCTTACGCAATCCGCACAATACATTTTACACATGATTCCCTGGAGTATACCAAGCAGCGGTAGAGAACCGTCAGAAAAGCATTGCTTATAAGCGCAGGATATTTTGAGAAGTCACGTGAGACGTGACCTGCAATTTTCATATCGTCTTGCAAGCGCAGCCGGTGTTCATCCATACTTTTCGGTGAATTGAAAGCTTGATATATAGTTGCAACGAAATCTGCAGCCAATTTACTCACAACAATCTGTCTAGGACGATGAACATTTTGGCCACTGAAACGTAAGATGAGATTAGTGTAAACAAGGGTATGATCAAAGTTCAGGTAAGTACTCCCAACAGAACAGTATAACCACGCCAGCGGTAGCTAGTCACGATATGCTTAATCTGAGTCGACAACTGGGTTACTGAGTTAAGTTGCCAGGTAGCACATCAGCGATGACTGCAGGAAATCTTTGACGTTCAGAACTAGGTTGTGGTCTGCTCAAGTTTTCAGGAGACAATCATCGTCATTAACTAGTTCTAATTTATTCTATACGTTATCTTCTGAATAAACAACTTCTCTTCGTTAAAATTTATTTTCTCTTCATACATTTTTTCATAATTTCCTCTGTTAATGTGCCTTTTCAAGTCACTTGAACTTTTTAGAAGTATTTGTTATTTCTCATGCAAAAACTGATGAAAGCACAAAAGCTTTTGTCATTTTACAGTGGTTAGTTTGTAAATTTTACTCATGTCTATGTGTTGAGCATGCTTGTGTGTATGTGTGTGGAATTAGCACTCTTCAACTTGTCAGTCTTCGAAACTTATCACTCTTTCTTAAAAAGACATTGAGGTATGAGTGGCCTTTTAATGTAATATGCTACTCATTCATTTTATTGTATTGGGTTTATCCATCTTATTGCTAGCTTGTTCTTTCCTGTTCATGCGCCTCTTGCATATTCGTTAATCAAGTTGCATTTTTGTCTTTTTCATGTTTTTTCTTATGGGCGATATACTATCTGGTTGGTGCATTCAGCAACTAACAGTCGTTTTAGCGAACGAACGTCTTCCAAACATCAGTACTAATTTTTTGATTGAGATCTTGAACCGATTGATTTTAGACCAGCATTGAAAACCTGAATGCACTGGACGGCCGTTTCGTCCCATAGTGGGACTCCTCAGCAGTGCGCATCCACGATCCCGCTCGCAGGATTTCAACTCAGGGCCTTCAGTCTCGCGCTCTGAGCCGGCATCCAATGGTGCTAATATCTAACCTCAATCAATCCGTGAAATTGCGCGACTATCATCCATTGTACTGAGGTTTTCAATGGTGGTCTGACATCAGTCGGTTGATGATCTCAATCAAAAACTTAATATTCTCCAGTGAGTCCAGAGTACAACTCAACAACAGGAAAGGTAACCACAAATTTATTAGTCAGTAGGTTATTTATTTTATTTATTTATTTTAACACATAAGTATAGGTACAGGGAGGCACCAAAATACATATGCGCCACACAAATCTCAATTGATTTGTGTGAGGGCTGTGATACTGCCCGGGTGCCCAAACCGAAGCAGGTGGTTGTCTTAGGGGGCCACACCCCGAGCCTTTGACCTGAACGTCTGACCCACAAGGCAGTGGAGCATCGTGAGGAGATGCAGTCCCATGGTAGCCAGCCGGTGACCAACGATTGGTTCATACGCCATTTGTTCCCGCAGGATACTGCAGCCCATGTGCACCATTGGTTTGGGGTCCGGTTAAAGCGCCAGACATTCGCTTTTCGTCCTCTCATTTTTGTAAACAACACCCCCGCCACGAGAAGGCAGTGAGTAGGACTTCCCTGGCAGGGGCTATGTACGCATGGCCATGTGAGAGCATTTCGAGAGGGAGAGCGGACTCTCCCCACTCTCGGCCGTACCAGGGCATTTGGGGGCAGTCAGTAGGTTAAGTGTTTGTTTATCCACACTCAGTAACCAATCATATTTTGCCTTCACCACGTTATAAATGGATATTGAGCTGCAAGAGAAGGGAGTAATGACACAACGGAGAAACTAACAGAGAAATATTGTAAACAAGAGAGATCAGTGACTGAGATTTACAAACAGTAGAACAAGTGGGTAGACCACATCGAAGAACTCCTGAATAGACCAGCCCAAGTGGACATTGAAGCAGCACACTGTGATGATTAGAAGTATTTGAATTGTTATACGAACTAGGAATCTCAGAAACAGTGCAACTTAATTCGGCAAGAACTAGATGAACACAAACAAACGTAATGTATTTGCAGTTCGAAATCAGGTGGACATTAAGTACAAAGGAATCAAAAGTTCATACAATCATTACATCCTCCACAGATTAAGTAAGAATCTATATTTCTGCAATCAATTATATCTCTTCTCCTTAGGTTGTTCATATGTCTGTCCGATCGTGTTTTGGATGTAGACTTTGTATGACCTAGAATATACTAATTAGTATTAAATTTAATACCTGGATTCAGGATGGACTTACCTGGAATTGTTTGCAATCGTCATGCCGATTGTATTCTGCAACCACCGATGTCTAGAATATGAACCCTAGACATTACCCCATGTAATAATGTTGGATCTTCGTATCCTCAAGTTATAAATGATGTTGCTTCATTTACATCATATTACTCATATTGATTAGAGGATTCATTAGAAGTAACTTCATGATAAGGATAAATCAAATCGAGCTCATTTAGGACTCGTGCTTTTCATTGAACAAGTTACCCACAAGAAACAAATGCATTACGAGGATAAATAACGTTTGATAATAACAATAAGATTTGATTCTTCTGAAATATTTTTGAAATTTATTAAGAATGTTTTTGGAAAATGATGATGCCCTAGTACGACCGAGAATGGGGACAGTCTGCTCTCACATGGCCACGCGTATATGGCCTCTGTCAGGGAAGTCCTACTCACTGCATTCTCGTGGCACTAATGTTGTTTATGAAAATGAGAGGACGAAAAGCGAATGTCCGACGCTTTAACCGGATTCCAAACCAATGCTGCACAAGGGCTCCAGTATCCTGAAGGAACAAATGGCGTATGAACCAATCGTTGGTTACTGGCTACCATGAGATTGCATCTCCTCACGATGCTCCACTGCCTTGTGGATCAGGTCGAAGGCTCGGGGTGTGGCCTTGTAAGAAAACCACCTGCTTCGGTTTGGGCACCCAAGCAGTATCACAGCCCTCACACATATCTAATGAGATCTGTGTGGCGCATATGTATTCGGTGCCTCCTCGTACCAATATCTACGTGTTAAAATAAATAAATAAGAATCATTAGAAAATTCAACATCTATCAAATTTCCAATCATGACTTGATCCATTCAACAGATTTGTAAGGAATTTCAATAATAGTATGTAAGTCGATAGGACGAACCGTATCTGGCACGATTGTAGTGAACGAGAAAACAGACGCGGACAACTAAATGTAATTCAATATAACATTACGGAATATCTTGGTAAAATCTGAAAACCATACAATGAATACTTCATTTGCAAAATGTCAATCAATTGTCTCAGATTTTGTTGTTTCTTAGTTCACACACCAATTGGTCCTTGTTCTCGTTCTCTTCGTAACCTTCTGTCGCCATGCATTTCTCTTTCGATTGATGCTACATACTACTTATATCTATCGACTTC